AGGGCCACCGCACAAGCTTTTCCGTAATGCATTACGTTACGTTAAGTACTGATTCTAAACCTAAACTCGTACGTAATTTTAAACTTCAGTCAACGCACAGAGAAAATCGTAACGTAACAAAAGAATAATACGTTACGATTTTGTTTGTGCGTTGACTGAAGTTTAAGATTACGTATGAATTTAGGTTTACAGTCAGTACTTAACGTAACGTTACGTGTTATGGAAAAGCTTGTGCGATGGCCCTTAAGACTATCACACACAAATTGGCATAGCTGCATATGCATAGCATAAGACCGTCTGGACCAATGAGCATGGCGCACTACAATTATAAAAAAAACTTATTTTGCATGTAATTAAAAAATTTATCAATTCACAAACGTAACATTGGTATATTTGTAAATCACAAACGATTTTCTATCAATTACAGCTATCAATTATCACAAAATCTGTTTTTGTTACTAAAAAGTTCCGGCTAACATCATGACCAAACTAAAATTGCTAATTACAAAAAACCTAATTTGTCACAAACGTTAAAAACAGACTCACAATCAATCACAAACGATTTACAAACGAAATACATTCAGAAAAATTTAAAATAATCATATTTAATAATTTCTTCCGGCTAGCTTCATGTAGGTCCGGTATTCATAGTCCGTTTTTATATTCAAGATCGTCTTAAGATGCTAAGCGGCCATTTCATTTTGGTTGAATGAGATCTTAAGACGACCCAAGACCACACTTAGGCCGGTATTCATAGTCAGTTCTTATTTCAAGACCGTCTTAAGTAATGTCTTAAGATGCTAATACGGCTCTGTGATTGGTTTAAGACCATCTTAAGCACAATCTACTGAACTATATACCATACTGGAACGCGCACGGCTATGCCTCCACCACTACTACCGCGGCCACTAAAAGATAGCTGCAGCTTTCCAGAACTGTCTCTTTTTACCGTGAACTACCATGACTGAAAACATCGTCCTGTCACGCAATCACACCAAATCACACGCGATCTTCGATACCACGCGAATATTTATTTCTATGCTAGATGGTTGAAAACGTTAAGAAGCAGAGAGTTAAAATAAATATGAAAAATGGTAAAGTGTATCTTAAAAAAATTGCACATCAAGCATAGACATAGTATATCTAGACCGAGTGTTGAGGAGTGAAGGCCAAGGGGCACGTAGAAAAGGACATACTCTGTTTCGTGCCCCTTGCGTTCTCTCTCGCTCGCACGTAGCATAGCGTACTATTTCGCTATGCTACGTGCGAGCGAGAGAGAACGCAAGGGGCACGAAACAGAGTATGTCCTTTTCTACGTGCCCCTTGGCCTTCACTCCTCAACACTCGGTCTAGATATACTATGTCTATGCTTTCATGTGTTTTTTCTGTTCTTATATATAGGGTGCGTTCCGTTCTTAGGATACTCTTTCAGCGACTTCCGGTGCGCGAGCTATCCTGCGATATACGTACTTATTCGACAATCCGAGAATTTCAAAGATTATTATATTTTAATAGAGTTGTGAATTTCGTTCTTAGTTATAGTAAGTGCAAAATCATTAGTGTTGACCGGGAAAGTATAAGTCTTTCCGCTTTCAGCGGCCGTTTCGCTTATTTAGCGACCTTTTCATTGGGCTCTTTGTGCCTCGGCCGTTTGGTCGGCCATATTGATACACCGAAAGTCTTTCTCTGGAAAGAACTTTTATACATCCTACATTTAGGACCCCTGTGACACCTAGATCCGACTGTGTGTTTGTCAAAATGGATTACGAGTCTGATGACCCTATTAACTCCTCTCTTCCTGACAATAATAACTCATTACCTACTGATTCTGAGCCAGTCAAACCTGCAGAATCAGTAGAATCTCAGATTCGCAGTATAATTCGGGCTAAAAGACCGATGTCTTCTGACTCTTCTTATGAGTCACTGCCAAAAGCGATTAAAAAGCTATCCATTGAAAGGATGGATCCACGTATAAACAATAAATATACGCTTGATTCCAAGCCGTCTTATATAGTTTACATAGAGAAAATCGCCGATTCTCTCTTTTCTGCGGTGCAGAGCTCAGCCAGGGATCAGGCTGTTACAAATAATTACTCGGTCGACCCTGGTAATGGGATATCCGATAAAACATCCGACGCTATGGATTTCAATAATAAGGATGTTCAAACGGACAAAGATAATAGTAAGGAAAAGAAAAAATCGCCTCCAGGTATTTACGGTATCATCGCCTTCGGTAAGCGTATTACTAAGTTTATTGATACATTTAAAAATGCCTTTGACCTCAAAACAATCGGTAGCAACAAATTTTCTGTCCTCTTTTCGGACGGAACAACTGCGAATAGATTTATAGAATCTTTCAATAAGAGAACTAACCTCACTTTCCCCGGTGAAAAATGGTTAGCTTATATACCCAACTTTAAGGTTATTAGACAATTCATTGTTAGAGGAATCGACGATGACGACTCACCAGAAGAATTACTGGCAAACGTTCGTCCCCCTCCTGGATGGGAAGTCATGTGGATTCCCCCCTTCGAAGTCACTAGATTAAAAAGAGCTATTTGCTCTAAAAATAAAGATAACATTACCAAGTATGTGGAAACGGACTCATACATCTTTCGTTTCAGAGCTGCGACTCCTCCTCCTAGTATTATATACATGGGGAAAAGGTTTACTTTGGAACCATTCATTCAAAGAGTTGTGCGCTGTCATAGATGCCAAAGATACGGACACAACATAAAAATTTGTCGCACTTCTGTCTCAAATGCCATATGCCAGAGATGTGGTAGGCTTAGTACGTCACACAATGGAAATACTTGTGACGAGGTCACTCCTTGCTGTATCAACTGCAAGAGACATAAGCTGGATGATACTGGACATGAAACTTCTGATAATAAATGTCCAGTTTTTTGTAAACAAAGAGAGATCAAAAAACTAATGGCTTACAATAATATCACCCAAAAAGAAGTCATCGCTCTCATGCAGGATATGGATCCTGATCCGGGCCCTGGTGTGGATTATGGTTGGACCCGCCCCCCTCACGGGGTACCCCTCCCTTCTTTTTCAGAATTCATCCCATTCAAAAAAACTCATTATCCCCCTTCAACTAATTACACCACTAATTCTCCTTCAAGCTACTCTTCCTACTCCGAAGTAACTAAAAATAACTACAATTATAAAAATAAAAATAAAAATAAAAACAATAAAACTTCCCTACCTCCGCAGTTATCTCACTAACTCATTAATTTATCTAATAATAAACACCTTTCCTTCCCTTCCCTCCCCTCTCAGTCGCATCATCATCATCAGCATCACTCCTTGCCTACCTCTTCTCCCCCAATTCCCATTTCCACCCCCTTTCCCCTCCCCTTCCCCAAATCCTTCCCAACTCTTATACAACTTAATCACGTGCCTTTCTCTAAGCCTAATAATAATAATAACAACAATATAAATAAAAATAGAGATAAAAATAAAAACAAAGTTGAAGCTTCATCTTCTTCATCCCCCAATTCTTTATCACCCCAAGATTCTTCGACCATTATTTCTACCCCCTCATCCTTCGAGATACAATCCTCCTCCTCTAAACAAATGTCACTAAATCCTCATCCAGACTTCCTTAACTCTTGGATAGATTCCTGTCAGAATAAATTCTCCTCAATTAAAATGATCCATCGTGAGGTGCTTCTCGAGATAGGCCATACTCTGCTCAGCAACGCTTTGTGTTCATAAATTAGCATTAATACTGATCTATCTATATGACTTCTTCCAATGTAAATATTATCCAGTGGAACTGTCGATCTCTAACGAGGAGAATGCCTGATTTGATACACTTAATGGACACTTATAGTATTGATATTGCTGCTCTATGTGAAACCAGACTTGACGACTCTTTTTCACCATCAATTCCTAACTATGACATATTTACGAATAATCGTAATAGACAGGGAGGAGGAGTGGCTATCCTGATTGGGAAGCAACTAAGATTCTCATATATTAGAGATACTCGTATTGGAAATATATGTTCAACTAACAACATTGAACTGTTGATTGGCAAAGTCTGGTTAGAGTCAAATAAGCATCTTTATATATGTTCCTTGTATAGTCCTCCCCGCGGAGGCTCTCATCCATTTACAAACAATCAAGCGTGGACAGAGATTCTTCATTTCTGCAATTCTTTTGATCCTATAATCATCTGTGGGGACTTTAATGGGAAGAGCACCTTGTGGCCTAACCTTATTCCGGGTCCCCCCGATCGATTCGGATTACATTTTTTTAAATCCGTTTTAATCGACCATTTTCGGCAGGGATGATACGACGTACACTCCAGAGTTTGGCAGACCTTCATATATTATATCCAAAATTGATTGGACTTCATTTCAAGAGAAATGTAACAAATTTGTTTATTCGTTCCAAATCAATATGAACAATCTCAACTCTACATACGAAGATCTAATATACAACATTCATAATGCTCTGGAAAGAGCAGGCGCTAAACGCTCTCAAGCTAATAAATCTCGGAGAAAAGCTCCGACTCCATGGTGGGATAATGATTGCTACGCCAAAATTGAACATAAGTGTCAGGTATTCAGAGAATTTAAGAAGTCTCCTACCTCAAACAATCTCAAAAAATACTTGGACATCTGTCAAACTGTTTCCAAGGAATTTTCCCGAAAGAAAAGGATTGCCTTTAGAGAATTTTGTACGTCCCTGGATGTCAATACACCGATTCCAAGAATATGGTCTTATATTCGAGCCTTCTCAAATAAAAAATCTGGTAACTCCAGTCAACGTATTATTGATGAGGAGGAATTCCATTCTGCTTTTAACAAACTGGCACCCCATACTCCGGTACCGCCGCTTTCTACCAACGACATCAAGGCACTTTCTGACCTTCCGTTTACAGCTAGCTGCGACGCTGCTTTCATGCAGAAAAATTTTTCTATATATGAATTCAACGCTGCAGTCTCTTCATTAAAAACCAAGTCAGCTCCGGGTCCGGATTTAATATCAAATAAAATCATCAAGAAATTGCCGGAAAATCTACACAAGTTGATTCTCAAAATTTTCAACTGTTTTTTTAATAAAGGGTCATATCCATCGCAATGGAACAACTACTTCACGGTCTTTATTCCAAAACCTGGTGGAAAAAAAGGCATTAAGACCTATATCTCTCGCTAATAATCTACATAAAATCTTCGAAAAATTAATCTTAAAACGCCTTGAGTGGTGGGCCGAAAACAACAAAGTATTATCACAACATCAATTCGGCTTTCGCAGAGGTCTCTCCTGCATGGATAATGTGGCTACTCTCATTACTAATATCTATTTGGCTAACAGACACCGTAAATTCACTGGGGTTGTTTTTCTGGACCTGGTCGGTGCTTTTGACAACGTTTTACCAGAAGCCCTATTAATACTACTTGAGAAAATTGGCCTTCCTCAGAAGATCATAGGTTTTATTAGGAAAACCACCACCAACCAAAACCTTACAGGATATGCAGCTGGTATCCCTCTTCAGACTAGAAGTACCGACCGAGGATTGCCACAGGGTTCCATTCTCAGTCCGACTTTATTCAATATATATGTAGCCTTGGCTCATACTTGCCTCCCAGAACATCTGAAAATATTAATGTACGCGGATGATATTGCCATATATTACATGGACGACAACCTGGATTCAATAAAGGGTCAACTTGGCGTTGCCGTGGAAAGTCTGAAGGTGTTTTTCGGACGTCTTGGTCTAAAGATCGCCCCTGAGAAATCAGCATATACCATTTTCTCCTCTATGAAACCGAGGAATCTACGTATATTACTAAGGAATAACAATTTTTTCCTTAATTTAGACAACACTAACATTCCAATTTCCTGGTCGCCTCGTTTTCTGGGGATTTACCTGGACTCGGAATTAAAATGGAGAGCTCATATCAACAAACT